GAAACTTGATTGAAGTTGTAAGAAGTGAATTTTAAACCTTGAGAATACTACAAGTAAGTGAATAACATCTCAATCAATTTATTAACAAATTTTCTTTTTATCAAAATATTATTTTCAACAATTCACAACTATTAATATATATATTTATCTCTAGTGTTGATTACTTTTATTACTCACATAAATTCACAACTATTAAATTGCTCTAACTGTTGAAGTCACAACAAATATTTTTATGATTAATGAAAATGCTTTTACAAGTTCTAGTAATCCTTTATTTGACAAAGACAATCCTAAAAATTGGTAAAGAAGTTTATGAGATATTAGTTATGAATTTTCATACCTAGAAGGATTGGTGTTTCAAATGATTTATGCAAGTTTGATATTGAAAAAACACAATTATATTTTGAAAGTGATTTTTTTCACATGTTTGGAAAATTAATTTCAAAAAGGACTATACTAAAAATATTGGTTATTAACGACAGTTTCGCTAACTCTTGGTGTGTCATAGTTAATGACTAGCTAGTTTAATATTTGTAAGCATAACACTCATGCTTGTTATTTGCAGGTCTCATAACTATGTTTGATTTTGTAGTTTCAACTCGTGTTTGGTTAGCATTATTCTTATAGACTGTGTGTCCCCATTTGTTTTCGTGGCTTAGGCTGCATTTAATTACTTACCTTCATGGACTATATGTATAAATTTGTTTTTGTGGCATAAGTTATGTTTGATTATCCTTGTGAACTGTGTCCACATTTATTATCTATTCTAGTAAGTCTCCAAAAGAGTATATTTTAATTGACTTGTACATATTTTATCTAATAGTTCTTAATTAATAAATGTTACCATATTCTCCATTTGTTTAGTCTAATGATTTGTTTTGAATAATGTTAATTACTTACCAATGTATAATTTGAAAAGTACAAGGATGCATAGAATGTTACTGTTCATGTAAACAAAATGTTATGGAAGATTTTTTGACTTCAAAGCAAAGTATTTATGTTTTATTGAACTATTTCTTCTATATTCATTACATGTTTACTCTATTATATTCCATACTATTTATTGAACTTATATATTTGGGAGGTTATTCACTAGAAAATTCATTTTTGTATTAGATATTTTAGCTAACATTATACCTCCTATAGAACATTGAGAGACATAATTGCTAAGTTGATGTCGACGAGCTTGCGAACAGTCATCTTTTTTATGTAATCTTGAATTTGAAAATTATGTATTATAAATCCTATTTTAGACACTCCACAAAGACTATAGCTAGGATCCTTAGCTTGATTATATATTGTTAGTTTGTCTATTAATGGGAGCAGAGCTTCTTGTTGTTTTTGTGTTGAAATTATTGTTGCAGAATTTTGGGAGGTCTTTAACTTTTGGGGAGGTTTTGATGAAATTTCTACAAAAGTATTAAAATGTCTACTTGTTTAATGTATATTGGAATGGGCCTAACCTTATTTCAAGTATGTTCATGGTTTATAATCAGAAATTTCACAAGTCAAGACTTAAGGGATATGAGTTTCTATGAATATCCCATACAAATCACACCCAATTTTTGAGATGTTATATTAGGTTTTTTTTAGTTTATTTTCTTTCAATACCTAGGGGAGTGCTTTGGTTGAAGCGCTCCCATAGGTGGATCATTTTGGGATGCTTTTGTTTTTTTTTTAAATAAGTTCTCCAAAATGTTCTGCCTCAATTTATGGGAGTGTTTTTTGACTTGAGCGTTCTGATATGGGTGCTCTTGTAAATTTTTTTCCCCCTGAAAGTAGTGGATTTTTAATCTTGTTGGTGATGGTTCTTCTAACTGAAGAAGGAAGAAGGAAGCTGCCAACAAGGGTAGAAGAAAGTGTAATAAGGTTAGACGTGATAGGTGATGAACTAGGTTGTTCATTCATGATCATAATTTTTTTTTTCTTACTCGCAAGGATTACTGATATTTTCCTTTTGTCCAATATGAAATTTGGCTCTATTACCAAAATATACTTAATCCCTCAGATAAACTCATAATAAAGACTTAGCTTATAATGTTTAGAGATTGACATCTTAATGTGGCCGAAGATCATTGTTGTAAATGTGGTCTTACAAGGATTACAATCTCTAAATATTAAAAGCTAAGTCTTTATGGGATTATTTTGGGACTTTAGTCTATTTTGCCCACTTTCGTGGTCTAACGTATAATTTAGCTGCATTAATTTGTCGTCATTTTCAACTCGGTGTAAAGAAAAGTTCTTTGAAAGGAGAAAAAGATGAAGGTACTTTTATTGCATAATTGGTCGATAACAAATAAAATGACTCTGATAGAAATAAGACTAAACTGATTATCTTCTTGATTTGACATTCAATAAATGATAAGTAGTGAAAAACATTAAAGAAACATGATAATTCACTCGTTCTTTTGTAAGCTTTCCCCCATTATAGGTGTCAAGATCTCCAATTTTTTTTAGAACCTCATGTTGTTTCATTGGGAGTTATGCAAGTTAAATGGTTATCTATATACTTGTTTAATTTTTATTGGGTCAAAAGGTATTTTTGTTCATAGAGTATTCATTTAGAAATGTCTGATATTTTAAATTTATATGTGATACAATTTTCCTTTCAACATTTGAAAATAGTACGTTGAGCACCTTTCCATTAAAAAAGTCAAATTTTGACATTTGGTTGACCCAGCAAATTATAGAAAATGACATAAAAACTATAAAAATACACCAAATTATAAATAAGTACCTTTTAAGAAAATTAATATCAATTAAATCCCTAAAATAATGTAATAATTTATAAATTTACAAATATTATTATTTATAAATGAATGCAATTTTTACGCAAGTTGTAAATTTTTAAAGGTGGATTAAAATTTTTTAGAGGAAACCTTATAAATTATCACACTAGTTTAGTGATTTAATTGATATTGATTTTTCATAAAGTACTTATGTGTATTTTTTGTTGTCCTTTTTTATAGTTTTTGAGGTCATTTTATGTAATTTTTAGGTTAGCTATAGTGTCAAAGTTAACTTTTTAATAACAAAGTGTTTCATTGAGTATTTTCAAATGTTGAAAGGAAAATTGTACCATATGTAAATTTAGAATATTAGACACTCTTGAGCAATTAATTGAGGAACAAAACAAATCACTACAAAAAAAATTACATTTTAGAGGCATTTCATTTAAGGTGTTTGTAAGAAACGCCTCAAAAGACCATACATTAGAGACATTTTCTGACCAAAACACTCCCTTAAGAGGCATTTGTATGAAAACGCCTTTATATGGGGGTGTTTCAATTAAAAAAAATGCCTCCTGTATACAAATGCCCCCTAAGGGGGCGTTTGTAATTGCAAACACCCCCCCACAAGGGGCGTTTGTATGACGTTGGGGGCGTTTTTGGTACAAACGCCCCTTGTTTATTTTTTGTTAGCAAAACATTTTATTACTTATAAAAAAAAACTTAAGATACTAAAAGAGAGTTAAGGTTTTGATCAAAAGTTAAATTTAAATATTAAAATTAAACATTTAATTTATATGCTAAAATTTGTAAACATAAAATTAAAAAAAATTTGAAAAACTTGTATTTAGAGCTAGTTAAAGTACGAGTTTATTAGTAAAAATTTCAAAGTGAAAGTTGTGAAATAACGAATGCCTTCAAATAAGGCGTTTTATGTGATAGGAGGCGTTTTTTTTTTTTTTTGTCAAACGCCTCTTGTAAGGGAAACGCCCTGACATGAGGCATTTTTAACAAATGCCCTAGTAGAGGCGTTTGTACTATAAATGCCTTCCAAGGAGGCGTTTGTGAAGAACAACGCCCTTAATCATACCTTACCTCTATATTTACTTTAGTGGCATTTCCTAGCAAAAATGCCCCATAAGGAGGCATTTGTCTAGTTTTCTGACGTTGGATAAAAATGTCACCAAAGTGGTGGCGGCGCCCGTTCTGGTGGCATTTTTAGAAAATGCCGAAAATACCAAAAGCATTTTAAAACACCTCTAAAGCAAGAAAAAAAAATGCCCCAAAAACAACATTTTTTTTTTGTAGTGAATGCCCTTTAATCCATTTTTATATTTAGATGAGAGTAAAATAAATTATTGACTTTGCTTCAATTTTATTGAAATTACTTCCTCCTCCCTATTTTTAAAACATATACTTTACGCCAAGGAATGAATGATGCCTGACTAAATCGTATTTTTCTAGTGGTGAAACTCAATAAATCTTTATCTTGATTCATAAATGCCTTTATGTTGATTGATATCTAAAACTAAAGAAACGTTATGTCTATTCAATACAATTATTTGTGTGTGAATTTTAAGTGTGTGGGGGCTTGGCACCTTTATTTTAATTGAGGTTTATTTGAAATTATAACAATTCTCTTATTTTCACGTACCTTATTCTCTTTGCCTGTTTTATTTGTTTCTATTTCATTTTATTTGTTTAATTTATTTAAATTACTTTAAATTAAAACTTCAACCAAACTTTGTGTTTTTTTTCTCATTCTATAATCCTCTTATTTATTATTTTATCTTAATTTTGACATATTTAAAATATAAATACTTATGCTGATGACTTTAGTTTTATCTTCTTATATTAAATGCTATTCATGTAAAGTAAAACAAAGCATAAAACAAGGTACTGGAAACTAAACTGGTCATCAATGAATCAATTAAGATATTGGTTCAAGAAATAATGATCAAAATTGTAGTTGAATATAATTGTGCTCAAACCAATTATAAACAAAATATTTTACTAAATCAGTAGTCAAAATACTATTTTAATAATTTACTTGTTCAAGTGGACAGGTCAACGCAGATTTTCATGTTATCAAAAATAAAGAACTCAATGATACTTCTCAAAGTGCAGATTTGTGTAAGTAGATCTTCATTCAAAGCGATATTATTGTCCATACATGATTGTGGTCAAACATGCATTGATCGCACACTCGTACTGGCCATGGCAGGCATGAACAGCTAGCTAGTAATACATCCCATTTTACACAGATCTGGCCTAGAAACTGTTGAATCTCTTCGACGCAGCATCATGGCAGACACATTCACAAACTTTCGAGCTGAAAGCTTCCTTAATCTTAGCACTGTAGCTTGTTTGCTTATCGTAGTACCTGTTCCAGATCATGACTCCACCAAAATTGGAAGATTCCTTCACCTTCGGAAGAACCTCGGATTTTAATTTTTCTGGTGAAATGTAACCATTGGATGCTGCAACAGGGCTATCTGACGCTACTAAGCCCAAGAAACAGAAGTATGATCAGCCACACCTTCCTCGGTCGTCCATTTCGACCACGAATCAAGGAGCCCTGTGAAGTCATCGTTTCCTAAATATTCGCATGTTTCATATTGGCCGTAGAATAAAACCCAGAGGTAATCTACATGACCTGTAGCGAGTGCGCTGTCGAAGGCAGTGATGCTGCAACGTGGGGATGCTGATATGTAAATCTTTCTGTCTTGAGTCGAATAACCATAGATTGCCTCCACAAGGTCGACCCAGGACCCAGTGCTGTAATCAATATTTGCAAGATTAATGCCATCTAAGGACACAGCTCCAAGAGGGCCATCTTGGCCGCTAAGAAGTTATCGTAAAGATACTCTGCCAAGGAACTGGGTTTTTCGTCTGTGTCTATCTCAACGGAAAGCAAGACTTGGATGCGTTTGCTTTGACAGTGTTGAATTTGCGACGCTAGGGCTTTGCAATTGCCAGCAGCACAATGGTCATTGAAATCTATGGTTCATTTGCTGGACACATGAAGGTATGCCAGAGCGACAATGTCGTAAAGACCAGAGTCGCATGTATCTGCTATGCTACCTTCATCGGATTCTCTGTTTTGTTTCCAGGAGACGGCGATTTTGCCTCCCGGGATGTTTGCCGGACAATCATCAGCATGGGAGGTCTTGATGATGGAGGACATTGTGAGGAGAGAGAGAAGGAGAATGAGAATCAGAACGTGGTTACTTGGAAGCCATGATAGTGTTATAACTTGGTTTAATTTTTCTTGTTTGTTGAGGTTGGCGTTTCACGGTTAACGGATGGTGAATATTTATACAGAATAAAGATGGGGGCCAAAGGTTACCGAAAACAATTTCATAGCAATTGCGATAATAGTAATTATTTAATTATAATAACCACGTCCACGTGTATTACATGGGGCGGTTGATGAATTAGAGAATAATAATTTATAATAAAGAAAGAGAATGAGAACTTGGCTTTTGGAAGCCAGGATCGTTGATGGGAGGTTAAGATTGTGCCTAGTTATAATAAAGATGGGGCGTTGAAAGGCTAAAAGTCCCCAGAAAAAAAAAATAATAATAATTTCATTGCAATTGTGATAATATTAATTATTAATCATAACAACCACGTGTAAAACAAATAAAACTTTAACGAACCAAATATTAACGAAATAATTAAAAAAAATCTCATCGCAAATGAGGTAAAAGCGACAGGAATTCTATTTTTTTATTATAGATATTAGTTAATGTTTAAAACAATAACCTTGTCTTTTTCTCTCTCAATTTGGCACTACCGCACTACTACTAAAATATGCTTCTAATCCAATGCTCAACAGCCAGAGTAAAAAGGAAGAAAAAATAATTTTGGGTTGCTGCACTTTACTTAAGTTTTGTTATAAGTTCCTGCATTTTTTTGTATTATGTCCTTACAATTTTGTTTTTTTTTAGTATTTTAGGTCCCTCCACAAATCATTTAATCTCAAAACTGAGTTTAAAAAGTTATTTATCAATTATAAATTAGAGTAAAAAGTATTTGGGAAGCGTGACAGTTAATTAGAGTTGAAAACAAGTCAAAATAAGATAAAAATAGTCATTTTCAATTAGCAGGGATATTTGGTTGTGGCCAAAGCATATTAAGCCATAGTCAATTCTTCTAGTGAAGATTTTCCTGTGGCTAAATTGTCTTGGGAACTTCTTTGGCTGCAGCCAATAATCTATAAGCCGCGGCTAAAGTTATTATGACAGCATTTGTTATGATAGTTATCAACCACAAACTTTTGGCGTGCATAACTTTTGATTCGAATCTTTGATTGAGGTAATTCAAATGCTCACACGTCAAAAATTTCATAATCTAACTAATGATTCTTGTTTCATGTCAGATGAAGAATTTAGATACTCGAGACTATAATTTCATATTTTTACATCTAAAACCATCAACTAAGTGTCCAAATCTCACATCATAAGTCATTAGCCCTCACAAGGGCTTGAACCACACTTAATAAGTCCTAATAGGCCTGTACAGGATGCCCATAAGCCCAAGATGCCTAATCCGACCCGAGCAAAATATACCTAACCTGAGCCCTAAAAATATTGCTCGATACTGTTTGGGCATGGTTGAGCTGAGCTCGATCTTCAGGTTGGGTAGGGTTTAGAGCTGGGGTATCCAACCAATTGACCCTGCCTAGCCCGAGATATAATATATTTTTTATAAAAATAATAATATAGGATGTAATTTATTAACTTGATGGGGACATAAATGGTGTTTAATTGTTTACATTCACTTCACTCCTTACTCGTTCCTTTTATTTTTTTGGTGCCTTAATGATCAAGTTTGTAAACCTTAGGTTAAATATTTTTATATTCCTTAGAATTTGAAACTGGACAGCACTTGTGACCTGCATGAAAAATTCCCTCCATATTTGCTTTGCTATTAAGTTTTTTGATGACACCATAATATTTTTGCTAATGATATTTAACAATCTGTTACTTTTAAAATAAGAGCTTGAAGTGATTTAGTGATGAAAATAATTAATCTGCTATGGTGTATATCATATTTGTATGGATGGTTATAATTCTTTATTTCAGTAGGGTAAGGCTGGAGACCCTGCCCGAGGTGCCCAATCCCTGCCCGCCCAGCCCCTCCAAAGTTGGGCATCTTTTGGGTAGGGTCGAGCTTTGGGCATAGTTTTTTTGCCCAAAGACATTTAAGGCAGGGCATCAAGTTAATGGGTTGCCTTGCCCGACCCTACCCATGCACAGCCCTAAGTCCTAATACACTTATCCAAATTGTCACAAGCATCAAACAACCCTTGATATAAGAATTGATCACCCAGCCACTATAAGGCACATAATGAGGGGGTGAAAATGTAATTCTTTACATTCAAGCTAAATAATCATGTAACCTCTAGGGTTAGACAAGAAAAGTTACCCTTTCTAATCCACCCCAATCTCCAAACATTAATATAATTATCAATTTTGTCAAATTATACAAATAGGATCCTAAGTTTTTAATATTTAAAATACTCCCACAAACCATCAACATTCTTAAATCAGAGATTAAAATAGATTAAAATGTGTGTGAAAGCATGGGATTCCTGTAACATCCTATGAATTTAAACATGACTAATTAAGTTTAATGTGGGTAATTTAGTGAATTAATATGGCGTGTGGCTAGAGAGGTCTAATTTGTATAAATGATTGTGTTTTCAGCCTTAAATATGGGTCTAAAGTGAAGTCGGGCCATTAGGGCATCAAAGGTAGAGGAAAAAGTGAAGAAAGATTTTCTATGCCACATGTCGCGGTGTGAGGAATGTCCACTATGACACATAAAGGCAACCAACATGAGTCGAGCCTCTCTGCCACGTGCCACGGCACACAACCAAATTTCTACATAATTAGGTTCATGTTTGTGCCAAAAACCAGAGAAGAGAAAAGGGAGAAAATAAAGAGCACCCCCATTGCTCTGCTAGAGCACGAATTTAGGACATATTAAGATATTTTAGAGCTTTTTAACTCACAAGGTAAGTATATTATGTCTTCCTCTTCCTTTTCCTTCCATTTTTCATGAAAGTTAAAGTTAGGGTTTGAGTTGGGGAGAGTGATTTTCAATCCATATGAGCTATGGGTCCAAACCTATTAGCTAAAATATCAATAATAGGAGTTATTTAGAGTATTTAAACTCTACATTAATGATTTTAAGAGTAGTTAGTAGTTGGGGACCATTAATACCCAAAAATTAGCAATAAATTTGTTGGTTGGGAGTGTTTGATGGCCATTAATGATTTTTTAATGATTCATTAATGACAATGTAAGTAGTTGAAACCTAGTAAACCTATTGGGTATGATGGGTAATGAGTTTGTGATTTTGATTAAGGGAGAATATGAAGTTAGAATGTTAAAAATTGCCCAAATATAGGGTAATAATGAATATTCTTGTGATTTCATTATAGACTATCGGTATTGACACCATTCAAACTTGAGAAGAAGCTTTGAAAGTGGTTATTTTAAGGGGCAAACCTTTGACCTTTCAAAGGTTTGAGGTAATCAGGAAAAATCTAGTCTAAATAATTGTATCTTAATTATTATTTATTGAATGAGTTATTTAAAACTTGTTGAATGTTTGAAAACTCTTTGATGCAAACTTTGGCGAGGTGATGATAATTGTGTATGTGACATTGTGCTAGTTATTTAGAATATTAATATGTATGTTATCCCTATGACTCGTGATGATGATGTCCAAATATGATATCATGAAAATGTGCTATATGTTATATATAATATGTGGAGTATGTTGGAGTGAGAAAATAGTGTGAATGTGATAAGAGGTTATGAATTGTGTTTAAAATGACGTGTTAAGTGTCAATATGTGTATAATATAATCATTGGCAAAAGTTCATCTATGGAGAAGAGTATATTGATAAATCCACATGGTATTAGCGGCTTATCATTGGAATTGAAAGCTTGCCCTGGTCCGACTGTTGGAATCGGGAGGTAGCTATTGTCCGATGGTTGATTTGAGACTGTCTCACTTGTTCTAAAAAATCTAATTACTCTCTATTAGTTCATAAGGAGGCTAGATTAAGGGTACGAAACCTCATGGTTATTAGTATTAGGGGGAACCCAGTACTATTGTTTACATTGGAAACAAAATTTGTCCATTGCCAATTTGCCTTTTAGCATCTTGTCATTCTTCAATCCAATTCTAGATTTCCAGTAGCTTTAATTTATGCATCCATGATGAAGGCGTGAAGCTTTTGTTGCTTTGTTAGGTTATAGATATTTTCTTAAAATTGTTTAAGAAGGGTAGCTTATATAGCCTCAATTCTTGTTTATTTTATAGTATTAAACAATATTATTCTTTGGTAATATTTATACCGTCACCAAGAAAATAGTAATGTTAGTGCTATGGAGATATTTTTAATTATATATATGTGGAGTTGGGCAGGTGTTGTATTCTTTTATAAATTACCCTTACTTTATTGAATAATTAATAAGAGTACTTTGAATAAATTAAACGTTGTACTTATTACATTTAAGGGTATGATTGGAACAATGTGAAATTTTTAGAAAATAAAGATTTTAACTAATTTTTTAAACCGTAATTTATATAAATAACTCATTGTGGTTCGGAGAAAGTATCTCTTCTCTATTTTTTATTACTTATAAATATTCTTATGTTGGAAACAATTTTATTTGAGGCATCGTCAAGTATTAAACATGAGCACCTCTCCTAACCTTAGAGTCGGTAATTTAGGCGGGCCAGGCTTATTCGAGTCAAACTCAATTCAGGTCGAGCTTATTCGAATTGGGTTTGGAATATCCTATCCTTTTGAAAAAGCTCATATACCCAAGCTTGGCCCTAACTTTTTTTAGTTGGATTTGGATTGGCCTGTCAAGCTTGGCCAAAATTACAGATCTTACATATATATAAAGCCAAAAATTCTAGTAATCGAGCTAATTTGGGTCGGGTTCAATTCAAGCTAAGCTTATTTAGATTGAGCTTAAAGATTCCTACTCTCTTAAAAAAGCTTTTATAGCTAAGCCCAGGCCTAACTTTTTTAAGGCGGGTTCGAGCTAACCCTTTAGGCTTAGCCCTAATTACCAGCTTTACCTAACATAGATTCAAATATTAATTTATCATATTATAAAGAACTAGTTCTTTTTGCTGCATTAGAACAACACCCCTTCCACAACCTGCATTTTGCTCCAACTTAGTGGTAGTCAGTGGGATGGTGATGCTGATGGGTGCTAGGGAGCTAATGTTTACGAGCACTATTTCACTTAAACCCTTGGTTCTCCAAACAATGAGCTTCGATCTTTTTCTGTTCATTGAAATGGTGAAGGCCCATGTTGTTTCCTAACACAGCTCATTTTTGGTCCAAGCACATTTATTTCTACATTGTAACCTTTTAAGGTCTGTTTGGTTGCCTTCCATTATCCTTCTTTTAAATAAAAAGATCAATTAATAAAAATGAAAACAACTTACAAAGCATAAGAAACCATAAACAGGGAAGGGGGAAAAAGATCTATCTTGAGAAACATTAAAGAAAACAACATGAAAAGACTCAATCAGCAAACCAATGTCATTCAATCATCACTAAAGGCTGAACAAAATGACATTTCTACAAGAGATAATTGTAACATTTATTTAATTTTTTTTGTAGCAGACTAAAAAAGAAAAACCACAATGATTAGTACTCCCTCCGGTCCTATTTATAAGTCATACCTACCAACCTCACCAATACCAATGCAACAACAGTATAAAGAATATTTATAAATGAAATTCCAAAATTACCCTTCAAATAAAAAACTACAAAAATCCAAACAATATAATATTATTTTCTAAATAATTCTCTCTCATAGTACTTTACAAAAAAGTCTGTCAGTCAAATAAAGTCAGTAAAACTAAGGCTGTCATCTATACTTGGCGGGAAGGCCAAAATGAAATTGGTGGGAGGGGAATTTTTGGCTAGTTACATTCTTATAAAAATGATAGAAAAAACAAATTGAGCAAAAGAACAAAAACGCACGGGACCACAATCTTCTTCATCTTTCCACCACTACCTTCCACCATGGAAAATTACTGCACACCTTTTGATTTAAATGCTCTAGTTGAGGAAGATAGTGGGGACAGCAGCAATAGTTTCTTGGACTTAAATGCTCCTCCCATGTGTGAGAATGTCTACCTAGACAACAATCAAAGTGAAAATCCACATGCAATCAATGAAAAAAGAAGTGGTAAGAATATCTCTATTTATGAGATTTAGAGTATTCTCATGTAAAATTTAACTTTCTAGTATCTATGTTCAGTTGTTGAGAAGAATAAAGCTATCCAAATATAATTTACTTAAGAGTAATAATCACCTTTCATACTTTTTAAACATTTCAAGGCCTCTTAATACCTCAGCCAGCCTATCATAGATATCCACATGCTTGAAAATAAATGTCCACATCAAAAATATTAAAAGCTTTTGAAATATCCCAAGGCCTCTTAATACCTCAACTAACGTGCTTATTAACATCTTTTCACATGCATTGTATTGTACTAAAAACTTTAAATTATAGATCAATCAAGATATCTTCAGAACTTTACATGGAAAAGATACCTGTAACAACTTCACAACCTTAGCAAGATGCATGCCACGCCCTCTACCACCCGCTGTTGCCTTAAAAGCATAAAATGTTTGACAGCTAACATTAATCAGCATATATTTTAGTCCTCTAATTCATCGTAATGCTATAGTTACACTTGAACATGAAAGAAATAAGAATTATGAAACTTTATAAAGGTCATGCAATCGCCATCAACGTTCCCTTAAAATAATTATGATAGTTGAGTACTCAGTCAAGCATAAAAACAAAATGTCAATGCTGCTATAGTGTTTTCTCCAATAAAGGATGCTGAAACATGAATGATTCCTTTAGGGCCCTTAAGAACAAATTATCATAGAGTTCAATCCAGAGGGGCCTATATATTACATAAAGGGAAACAGGAAGATATCAACAAAGTTGGTTAGACAGAGCAACAACTCCTTTTCTTTCTCTTCATTTATATATTGCCAGCCAACCTACTATTAATTTAGTTCAAACCTAATACCCAGTGCCGGGAAAAGGAATAAGAAGAGTTGGAGTTATTAAATTGTGCTCAAGTCATAAATTTCTTAACTAAGGAAACTAACTGGGATCATCCCTCTCTGATGTAATTAAAGAAGCTAGAGAGCTTGTCTTGAGGGAGTTGTAATTTAAAGCCCTTAATACCACATCTGTAATTTAAAGTATTTCCATTAAATCCTAGGTTATAAGTAATTCAGAACAGAAAACCTTTTTTCATAACAAAGAAAAATATCGAGACTTCAATTTTTGATAATAGAACTTGCAGCTGCCATACCTTAAACTGGTAGCAAATTAGCGGAGTTATTGGCTTGATTTTCTTGTTTTGCTTCTTTGAGACTCTTAACATCAAGCTCTAGATGGATTTTCTTCTTTAATAGCTTCATCACCTATAACATTACAAATTGTTTGATTAGCTGAATACATGTGAATCCCATATAATTGAATGAAACTCTCTTACTATGTTCCTTGAAAATAAAGGTTATTTTCATTGAACAAGTGTGAGAGCTAGAAGATTAACTTACTCACTGTATATTAAGTCATGCACACAGAATTTTATATTTTATATAGAAAGTAGGGTGTACATAAACTTGTATAGACTTTTAATATCTAGTATCAATACACTCTTGAAATAGAGACAGATATGGGAGGCAATACAATTGAATCATCAAGGCAGCAACCATGTAAAAGAAGGTTCTTATCAAATGAAAAACGTGTAGCCATTTGTAAGATTTTGTTACACTCAAGTTGTGGAGGTAAATTGAGCAGCAGTACAACAAGAGAAATAGCCTCAGCATACTCAGTTTCAATGAGAGTGATTCGATGCATTTGGAATCAAGTTAAGGAAACAGGTGATGTAACTCATAGAAAGACAAATAGATGTGGAAGAAAGGAACATAATGTGAACATGGAACAAGTCATGGCAATTCCTGTACAGCAAAGAACTACTTATAGGTCTCTTGCAAGTATGTTAGGGGTTAATAAGACATCACTGATCAGACTAAAGAAAAAAGGAGTTCTATGGTGACATACCAGTGCAATCAAACCACATTTGAAGGAGCAAAACATGCTTGCTAGATTGAGGTGGTATTTGTCTATGCTACAACAAGAAAGTATACCAAATGATCCAACTTTTCAATCAATGCACAATATAATCTATATTGATGAAAAATGATTTTACATGACAAAGAAATCCCAGACCTACTACTTGGCAATAGGGGAAAAGCCACCACATCAAACATGCAAAAACAAGAATTATGTTGGTAAGGTTATGTTCCTAGTTGCTGTGGCTAGACCTAGATTTGATGCACAAGGAAATGAAATTTTTTTTGGAAAGATTAGGTTGTTTCCATTTGTTACAAAAGAGGCAGCAAGGAGAAGGAGTGCAAACAGGAGCAGAGGCACAATGGAAACAAAACTAATCACGTCAATTATAAAAGAAGTGATGAAATCTTTCTTAATTGATAAGGTGTTACCAGAAATCAATGTCAAATGGCCAACAAGCCATGCAAGTGAAACCATTTAAGTTCAACAAGATAATGCTCCTTATCACATTCATGATAGTGATGCGGACTTTTGTGTGGCAGCAAGTGATGGTGGGTTTGATATTCGCTTGATTTCCCAACCCTCAAATTCCCCTGATTTGAACATTTTGGATCTTGGTTATTTTAGAGCAATTCAAGCACTACAACACCAAGAAACACCTAAAACTATAGATGACCTTGTCAAGGCTGTGGAGAAGTCATTTGAAGTTTACACATCCAAGCAATTGAATAAGATCTTCCTCACACTATAAGCTACTATGATTGACATTATGAAGGACAAAGGTTCAAACAAGTATAAGCAAGGTCATTTGAAGAAGGATATGATGGAAAGAAGAGGTGACTTGCCTAATCAACTTAAGTGTAATCCCTACCTAATTGAAGAAGATTTGGAGCACTTAGCATAAGTGGATGGATGATTGAGATTAAGGGGTGGATGTTTCTATGAATCCTTTATGTTTTGGTGATTAATATTTTGTGTTACAATTTGTCATGTAAATTGCAACACATAATATTGACAGTTAATATTTTGTAATAGATGCTATTGGCAATGAAAAATGATGTCAAACAACCCCTAATCATAAAAGAATAAAACTGATCAATGTTAAACAATATTAAACAAAGAACCCTTGATCATAAATTTATTTTGTAAAGAAATAGTATTCATTTTGTAAACAAAGAACCCTGATCATAAAAGGAATAATATTTTGTAATCAATTTATTTTCTAATAGATGTTAAACAAAGAATATAAAGGAAGAAACTGATCTAAGTGATGAAAATCTGAAGCAATTGACGCAAGAGAAATTAATTTATTGGTACTACTTGCTCAATCAATAAAACAACCCCTGTTTCGCCATATTTCACAATGATGCAGCTTATGGAAAAAACAAACTTGTTATCAAACAATGGAGACATTTCTACCTTTCCCCCCTTCAGCCCTTCCCATTTTGATTCTGAAAAGTAACTCGAACAGGCTCTTACACAATCACAATTATATTTTTTGGTGACAAATCTATAATTATATTTAACACAAAGCTACCATACTTAGTTTAGCTGCAGTAGCCAGGGGCTTAAGTGGTTCACAGAAATCTCATGTTTAATATTAGTAAGATCATAATAGGGTACGAACAAAATATTGCAGATTACCACAATAGGATTAACACAATATAATATCATCATCCATCAGACTAACAAACCGTGAGCATCCCAGACCTACTCCTTAATCAGCATAAGCTTAAATTCTAGACTAACCTAAATTGCACAAAAGGTATAGAAATTTAAGACAAATTAGAGCATATAATGTAAAGTATCATATAGAAACCGCTTATGGTCTTTCTCTTCCTCAGTCAGATGTGTATAGTCTTCCTCAGGGAATGGAAACTTGTTCAAGTTGAAAGGGTGGACTATCTTCTTCTTTTCACTTGCTTTTGTAAACTCCAGCACTATATCACCGTCACTCACGTCTTCACCATCCTCGACTGCCTCTTCGTTCAAATCAAACGAGTAAGCTTCCTTCGCACGCACAGCCTCAACAAAGTTAGAAGACATGAAGGAAGAACCAATCAGACGAGGAGCCCTCAAAATCTTTCGACTCAGAGAGTTTACCTCTCTAGAGAACTCGAGCGACTGTGAATCTTCTTCCCGGTAAAAGAATCGTCCACTACGCATGCCATTAGCTGATGCCACGATAGACCTTCAAAACGCTCTTCCATCGGACTTGAACGGTGAGATCCAGAGATATTGCACACCACAAAATGATCGACGACACTTGTGCGAATAACAGCAGAAGAGGAATTGCAACAGAGGAACAATGAGCTCGGCGGCGACGAAGGAAGAGGCAATCGACGAAAATTGAGCGAAGATGGTGAGAGAAAAGGACAAAGACAGAGTGAGAGAGAGAGGATGCCAGTGAAATGTCAAGTCAGCCGAACGAAGATGAGTAAAGTAGCCGGGGGTATTTCAGAATTTCACTTTACAATGGGAAGTTTTTACCTATCAGTGCCTTATAATGGGGACCAGATATATCTTCAAAAAATAGTCTTATAATATAGACCGGAGGGAGTAATTCTTTGAACTGTCTAATTCTTGATCCAAACCCTCAAAGTCCTAATGCAAAGCAAAATGAAAGAGTTAGGCTCAATGGATAAGGAGTGTTTCCAAGTAAAGCGCACGAGGGGATCTAAATTGATATGTAAGATAGCAGTACTGTAAATGCTATTGGCTCTTTTAAACTTGACCACCCTAATATTTTAGTTTTAAAGTTTCAGAATAGAAGTATAATTTTATAATGGTCCCAAATGCAATTAGATAGGTTGAAGACAGATGATGAACTACTCCTGTGCTTGTGTCATACCAGTGACAAACATTAAAAAGATGCATTGATTGTGAAATTCTAATCATACCTGACTGGCTTGATGGATAATACTCTTATGAAATGCAAGATTACTTGAATTTTTTGCCATATCAAATTAAGGAGTATATGATAATACCTTGTAGCTAAAGAACAATCCCATCCTTATATAAATGAGAAAACATAGAAACTGTCACGCCTCAAAAATAGAGGGTGACCGGCACAGGATGTGAACCACTGTACATCCCTTAAGCCTTGGATCAATTAATCTTTCTATGACTAAAACCTAATCATGTTGTTAGTTCAAATTAGAACATGCATAAACATTTTTGACATTAATAAAAGTTTCAATATTTTTGTAAAAATTTCGGCAGAACCTCCTCTTTAAACAAGATCTCACGAAAACTCTACACTTAATATTTTACACCAAATATCATATTAATCAAGAATTCAATTCCTTCCGGCCACCAAGCAAAAAATATATGACAAAATAAAGGTTTTAGCTATAGACTATGTGGAGCACATAAACTAAGCTTACAAAATAAAATTTCATAATTTAAAACATTACATCAAAAGAATACTTAATCCTTAACTCGTCCACCTTTAGTCAATAATAGACTCGTCAATAGTTGGCGGATGGTTCAGTGTCAGCTACACTATCTAAGACCAAAAATGTTTTCCAGTGAATAACGTCCCAATAATAAATAATTAAATATGAATAAATAAAAAAATTAAGAACAATTATGTAAGTAAAAAATGATCTCTATAAAGATTCAAATAAGCATGGGACAACATGATTCTATATAACTTTAAATAAAATCTTGAACTATTAAATTATCATATCAAATATTGTCATAACTTAATTTCAAAGAAATAATTAAACAAAATAAGTAAATAAAAAAAAATATTGCTAATTAAAACAAATGGAATATGAAATTATTAAACAATTAATTTCATATTTATAGGGACTTATCAGAACAATTGACAAACGTGGGCACATAGTCTACGAGGGCAAATAACCAAACACGGCTTATACCACGAAGACAGACGTGGACACACAGTCTACGCAGATAAGTAACCAAACGTAGCCGAAGCCACGAAACAGATGTGGACACACAGTCCATGAGGGTAACTAACCAGACATGGTTGAAGCCACGAAAACAGACGCAGGTATAAGATCCACTAATAACAGACGTGAGAATAAGCTCACGAAATTCAACTAGCTAGTAACCGACCATGGCACGCCAAGGGCTAAAAGAACTGTCGTTAGCTACCAGTATTCTGTCTAAAGTCCCTTAAACAATTAATTTTCAAACATGCGAGAAAAATAATTATTTTGAAATTAAAATTTTCTATTTTCCATATCAGACTCACATGAATTATGTAAACATCTGTTCTTTTCACTATAAAAACTTACAAGCTCTTTCACAAATTTTCTTGATTGTCCTTGTCGAATAAGGATTACTAAAACTTGAAAAAAAATGAGTTGATCAATGTT